TATATTGTTATCTATAAGTATATACGTGCAATACAGGGTGAGCCTAAAAGAAAAAATGTCTATTACTTTAAATGATTTTGTAAAGTATCGTTTTAAGAAAATTTGTTCAACCTATTATCGTATTTTATTTGATTTTAAATTTGTACAATTACCAAACCAATGAATTTTCGATTCAACCTGTATACTATTTTTCGTAAATTTATATTGTTTTATTTTAATTTTGTATATTCTTTCTTTTTTTGTTTGTTTTCTATCTATCTTTTTTACATATTAGTGTTTCCTTGATATTTTTGTCAATTTTCGAGATAATCGTAAAAGATATATGAAAGTAACGTAACGGGAACGTGAATTTGGGACGAAACGAAAAGGAAAAGAAAAAGAAAAGAAGAAAATTATTTTTATATTTAGATAAATCCGTGTCGCGTCGATAAAACACCCAAGGTATGGATGGTGTACATTTAATAAAATGCATTTCGTGCTTCAAAACTAAAAACAGCTCCGTCGTACCGTTGCCAACGCTTTTCGAGATTACGTTCGTTACGAATATTTTTAATTATATTTTTTAAGGCTCAAAAATAAAAACACGCGGATACCGTGACATGTCTGTCAGGGGATTAAAAAAAAAAGAAGAAAAAAACAAATACAAAGCGAATCGATAATCATATTTCTTTTTTAATATTTTTTGACTTGTAAGTTCGAATTTTACAAAATAGCTAACACTTCATTTTAGTGTGCAAGAATGATTTTAAAAAACGAGATAGAAATATTTTTGCAAATCTTCTAATCGAAATCATCGATTACACGAATTTTTCACTAACACGTTTTATCTCAAAATTTATTATCTCTCTTTAAAAACAAAAGAAAAGAAAAAGAAAAGGAAAAAAAAGAAATTCACCTAGATTCTAAGTAATCAGAATTGAACGAGGTGGATTAAAATAAAGAAGAAAAAGAAAAGGTACTGCATTTGCAAGGGATCTCAAGGAATGACCCCATAAAAAGGTACTTTAAAGAAAATGAACCCCTCGCTTTCACGCTATCTGTCTGTTTTACTTCAACCCCCCTCCCCCCCACGCCATCTCTCTTTGTCCATTTTTCGCTTCATTTCTTTGGAAAAGGAGAAAGAAGACACGAGAGAGTTTAGAAAAATGGGTTTGGAGATAATAAAAAGGAATCGTCGAAGTAGATGATATGTCACTCACTCGGCGTTGGTTTCCGGGGTGGGTAGGTCGCCGATCGTCGTCAGAGTAAGGGTAGACCAGTAGAGTGATCCAAGGTATTTCCTGGTCAAGGTCGCATATTCACCGGGCCTGTACGGATAGACCCAATCACCTTGGAATCCTTCGGCTTCGCTTAGGAGATAGTAGAAACAGCCGAACCAATGTGCGAGTATTAATAATATATGGATGAGATTGAGTACACGCCATAAATTAGGATAAACCGTACGGGATTCTACCATGTAATAATAATTATAAACACGATAGATCTTGAGGAACCTTGGAAACCTTAGCATTGGATTACTACCAAGATTGAATTGTAACAAATCGAGGGGTAACAGTGCTAACAAATCTAATATGAAACATTTCGATTTCAAATAATGTCCGGCCAATTTTTTACTGTTGTAAACCATCAGCCCTTGCTCGAGATAACCCGTACGAAATTGTACGGCTACGTCTAAGAAAAATACCAAATCGGTGAATCCGTCACAGGCAAGCCAGGCGGCAGGTGCCAATGCTTGCAATTCCGGTAAACTTTGTCTTACTATCAATGTCCAAAGATTGTATAGGACACAGGATGACAATAACATTAACCAATAGTAATAAAAATTTTCGTCAGGATTGACAACAGTTCTTGGTGCTTTTTGCGTCCTTCTTGCACGTCTTCTTCGTCGTCCGCTTGAATCCTTTTCGTCGTTCGCGTCACCCTCACCTTCACCCGTGTCCACGGTTTCTTGACTTTCCGGTATTTGACGGGTCGAAAATCTTTTTAAAAATGAATCTTCACGTTTCAACGGTGGCTTCTTTTGTATCGTTGATATCGCCGATGACAATTGTACGGTCGTACGTAATTTCATCCAACGTTGATTGCTTTTAGTTCTGCGAACAGAAAACATAAATAACGGATCGCCGATGAAGAACTTTTTGATAAACAACGACGATCGTTATAATGTTTGTATCAGTTATTTCAAATAAAATAAAATACAAATAACTAAACTATTATTCAACACAAACAACGAAAATAATACATTTTTTTTACTTTTTTCTCTCTAAAAAATAAATAACAATCTCGATCTTAGACAGTGTTTTTTTTTTAAAAGAAAATCGTTGTTCGTTTTAATATTTTTGCTAAAATTATATATTGTCCGGAAAACACTGTAGTTTTTTCAAGATCGGGCCGGGTACTACGAAATATTAATTAAAATTAAAACAATAAAATCAAACGTAATTTTTTTCTTGTATTCGGATAAATTAAAACGTAATTATTCCTTCTATTACTTTCATTTTCAAAAACACGAAATTTCATGACACGGTATCTCTAAATTGTGTCCGTACCGTGACGCCATTAACGCGATTTAAACGTTTTTAAATCTTCGATCAAAGTTACCGGGGAAAATAAAACAAAAACAAACTAAAAAAAAGAGAACTGGTTAGTAAAAAATATTTGATGGACCGTAAAAGATACGTACAACACGTATCGTAAAAATGCGAAAGTTAAGTTCACGAGTGAGTGTTCTCTGACTGAAGCAATTTCATATTCTATTGTCTTGGAAAAGAGTCGTAAAAGAAACAACAAACTAAAATATATCCCGTTTATTTCTTTAAAAGACATAGTGTGTAGTTGATATCATATAATAAAATATTTAATAACTTGTTAAATCAAATCATAAATTTATTATATTTAAATCAAACGTGTATAAATTGTTATTTTTTTCTCTTTTTTTTTTGCCTTTTTTCATAAAAATACGATCGTACGATTTGCATAATTACACGTACATGATTTCCTTGTTTTTTTTTTATTTTTCATTTTTGTTTCGTATTTAGAGATAACGACTCATAAATCATAAAATTCAAAAGGAATAAATGAATAACAATAAAAAATTGCTGGAAAAAAAATTTTTTGTTTAAATAAATATGATCAAGCATCATATCTTCGGCCCATACTATTTGTAAGAAAAGAAAAGCTCGTTTAAAAGTATACGTTAGATCGTAAGTAACTCATGCATTATTTTGTTCAATATAAAATTAAGATGCGATATATAGAACGTGGACGTTCCCAACAATCAAAAAAATAAACAAAACAAAAAACAAATGCATCATCGCAATCCTTTTATGTCTAATATTTCTGTTTTTCTTTTTATCCAAATTATACATACAATATATTATTAAAATTCATTAATTTGTTTACCTTATAAAATATTCTTATTTTCTCTTTTTTTTTGTAAAAATAACTAAACCAACAAAAAAAAAAAGAAGATAACGTTCGTCACATACACACACGCACAACCTAACACACGATTAATGTAAATGTATATATATATATATATATAATCATTAAATATTGTTGCATACAACAAAAGACAATTTTACCTACGGTCTATCACCGTTTTAAATGATCTCTAATACCTAATAATAGATATAATAATAATAATAATAATAATAATAATAATAACGTACGTTCATGTGGAAAATAAACACAACATTTGCTTTTTCCAGACAAAATTCAGACAAATCATCCGCCGTATAAATTTCTAATTCTAATAGTGATGCAGAGAGTCAAGTCAATATATAGAGTAGAGTATTTTATATTTTTTTTTTGCTATTTTTTTTTTTTTTGTTTTTTTTTTAAATGAATAGATATAAAGTAAGAAGAGAGTGAGCGAGAATCAGGTAGATCGTTTAGCCAGAGCATCAGATGAATAAGAGGCAGACAGACTGACAGACAGACAGACAGACTGGCAGAGAGCGAACAGACAGTCATACAGACAAACGGACAGACAGACAGACAGACAGACAGATAGTTAGGCAACACAAACAGAAATGGAAACATCGAGAATTCAAGTAAGTTAGACAAAGATATAGAATATAACTAAAGGTTGTATTTTTTTGTTTCAATCGAAGATGCTACTACTTTTTTTTTTGCATTCTTCAATGCACGAACACATACACGCACACGCATGTAAAGTGTTTATTCTTGTTCGTGTGTTGTTGGATGCTTGTTAATTGTTGTTTGCTGTTGTTGATTGCTGTTGTTGAAATTAAAATTTTTCGCGATGAATATTGTGAGAGATTAGAAAGATGTTTGTTTTTATATATTTTTGTGTTTTTTTAATAAATATTGAAAAGAAAGAGAAGATAGAGAAAATTGAAATAAAAAATTTCAAGTAATGCAATGCGAGAAAAAAGAGTACCTTTTTTTGTTTAATGCATAAGAAAGTATATTTTTTGTTATTAGGAAGAAGTGTAGAAAAATAAATCGTTTAAATTGATGTGTTTGTTTGAATTATAAAAAGATTGTTAATAATAAAATATATTAAACGTGTTTCTAGTGTACACGTGTATATGTAAGTCTTACAGGGTTGTAGCTTTGATATTTTAATTTGTTCTACTTACTTTGATAATTAATAATATTATATTCCAAAATTCTTGTGCAATTATACTATTTAACCATAACCGTTAATACGCATCGACTGTCGAGAAAATAAATATATCTGTCGATTAATAATTATATCAATAAAACAAATGTCAATTATAAATATAATTGTATTAACGTTGTTAAAAGAATTTTTTGTTTTTTTTTTTCACGACAATCGATGCAACGTGTTCATCTAATAATTTGGATGCATCAAAACACAGGTAAGCATTATTAAATGCAAACTAGCAACAATCTCGTGAGTTTTTCGTTTGTAATAATAATAATAATAATAATAATAATAACAATAATAATAATAAATTTTTGAATGTAACGCAAGTTAATTAACTAATTAATTAATTAATGTCGAGATAGAGAAAGGAAACATTTGTGTTGCGTGCAAAGTAGATACGAAAAACACACAAATAAAACAAAACAAAAAAACGAAAAGAATAAAAGATTATTAAAATACAAAATAAATACTATATATAAATAAATAAATTCGACGTAATATGAATAACTCACGATGCACTTTTATGACGCAAGAAAAAAGAGAGAGAGAGAGAGAGAGAAAGAAATTCATGAACATTCGGAAAAATAGAAAAAGTGGAGTAAAGTAGAATGGGGGGGGGGGGCTGAAATCATGCTTTTTCCTATTTAAAGATGATAAAATTGTTTTATGCTAATCATTCTAACAAATCTGTACGAACGTATGCAAAACACCAAAAAATTATTTATTTCATCCACAATTGTTATTTCAACATAATTATAATATAAAACTATATATGCATAAAAAAGTTTTTCACCATATATGTATTCCTTTTTAACAAAAACAACAACGAACGTTCTCTTATCCCATCGTCAATTTTTGATCTACTCTGTAGAAGAGAAAATCGTGCGAAAGCTACGACCCTGTACGATGAAAGGTGTTGAGATTATTTTATGTTCTCAATGTGTAAGTATAATATATATATATATATATATGTATATATATATATTTACTCGGATCATACGATACTACTATAATAAACTCCCATGCATTTGGTATCATATAAAAGCATATTCCGAAAGAAACTTACTCGCATGAAACGAGTACTATGCAATAACTATGAATGGGACTACTATATATATATATATATATATGTTTATATATTTTCTTTTTTCTTTTTTGTTTCATTTATTTGATCATTACATTGCATTTCTTCATTTTTTTTCTTTTTTTTTTACTTCCTATAATTACGAAGATTTATATTTCTATAGTTTCGTATTGTTTAATTAACGTAAGTATTATTATAATACAGATTTAAACTAAAATAATGATAATACATTGTAAAAATACTTTGTAAGTTGTACAATAAAAACCTGATTATATATATATATATATAATGCAGATTTAATTGTAAAATAACTTGTCGTTTAACGTTTAATACGAAATTATCCAACTCGTTGGGACAAAAAAAAGGGGGGGGGGAGAATAAATGAGGACAATAATTATACTGAGTGTCGCGAGTGTTTCATACAAAATCTTTCGTAAAAATGTTGATGTTATCGTCGATATTTCATTGATCCCATAAATTTGACATAAGCTACATTTTTTTTTTACATTTTATATCGTAAGAATTGATTAATTCGAGCTCGTAAATCTGAAAAAAATATATATTAAAAAAAGGAAGTATCGAAAAGGAAAGAAAAAAAAATATATAAAATAATAAAACCAAGGAGAAAAAACATTGAATAACCATTAGGTTGTTAAAAGCATTATTATTCCTTATCGAATTCTGTATAGGTCTTTTTTCTTCTTTTTGCTTTTCTCTTTTTTCCTTTTTTTTAAACATCACTTCTCATAAAATAAAAGATAAAAGTTAGAGAGGAAGCTTTTTAATCCTGCCAAAAGCAAAAGTGATTGATTTTTACGAATTGAACCACGTTCATGGTACACCGTTGTCTATCACTATACTTCAGATATCAAATAAATTAAAGGGCTTGTTTATTTTCTGCTAGTGCTTTCTTGAGAATAATGAGTCTACGTCATGATCAAACATAGTTACCAAGATATATATGTGTTACCATCATAGCCGGAAATCCGCCATCGCTAGTAATTCCTCGACATTCTCATCAATGCAAAAAGCATTCCGATGAAATAGGAAACAGAAGAATTCTTACAGTTTTTCCTAAGCATTGAACATAATACTTTGATATTCTATAAAATATCAAATTAATATTAAAACAACGTTTAAAAGAATACATTCTCGGGCACAGACACACACAGCCATACGCAACCCCTTCCCCCCCCCCACCCCCAAAAAAAACAACCCATACAGGTAAAAAATATTTCGTTCTAAACCTGTGTATCTTCCGATACGACAGGGAACAAAAGATAAAGATTTCCGTGAAAAAAGGGGGTACTTTAATTTAATATAAGAGTAATTTAAATCTATTCACTCTCTCTCTTAGTATAAAAAATATTTACAGAAACTATTCAAAAAAATATCAGAGATTGCAATGCTATAAATTATACAACTTTGCAATTTATTTGAAAAGTTTCGGTAAATATTTTTTATACTAAAAGTGAAAAGATTTTAATGAAACTTATATTAAATTAAAGTATACTCTTTTGTCTATGCGAAAAATACCATACCGAGTTATAAATTTAGCATGTAATGTACAGAAAATGTCAGAGAATGCAATGCTGTAAATTGTACATCTTTGCCATTTTTTGTGAAAAGTTTCGGTAAATATTTTTTATACTAAAAGTGAAAAGATTTTAATGAAACTTATATTAAATTACAGTACACTCTTTTGTCTACACGTAGAACACCATATCGAGTTATAAATCAATCTGAAAAGGTTCATAAAATGGCAAAGAATGCGATGCTGCAATTTTTTCCTACTTTGCCGTTTCTTTGAAAAGTTTCGGCAAATATTTTTTATACTAAAAGTGAATCGATTTTCATGATTTTTATATTAAATTAAAGTGCATTCTTTTAGCTACGCGTAGAGTACCTTTTCGTGTTATAAATCAATCTGCAAAGGTTCATAAAATGGCAAAGAAAAGTTTGCGTACTAGGCATTGTTCACATTGCCTAAGGCCAGGCATTGTTAGCATTGCCGGGGGAGGTTTGGAACCTAGGCCGGTAATGTTAACAATGCCTGGCCATCAGGCATTGCTCACATTGCCTGATCAGCCAATTTTTCTTTGCCATTTTTTGAAGCTTTGCAGATTAATTTATAACTCAAAGATGTATTCTACGTTTAGATAAAAGAATGCACTTTAATTTAATATAAGTTTTATTAAAATCTATTTCATTTTAGTATAAAAAATATTTGCCGAAACATTTTAAAGAAATGGCAAAGTAGGAAAAATTGGCAGTCATCGCATTCTTTGCCATTTTATGAACCTTTTCAGATTGATTTATAATTCGAAAAGGTACTCCACGCATAGACAAAAGTGTGCACTTTAATTTCATATAAAAATCATTAAAATCTATTCATTTTTAGTATAAAAAATATTTATCAAAACTTTTCAAAGAAATTGCAAAGATGCACAATTTATAGCATTGCATTCTCTGACATTTTCTGAACTTTACATGCTAAATTTATAACTCGATATGGTGTTCTACGTGTAGACAAAAGAGTGTACTTTAATTTAATACAAGTTTTGTTAAAATCTATTCACTTTTAGTATAAAAAATATTTGCCGAAACTTTTCAAAGAAATTGCAAAGTTCTACAATTTATAGCATTTCAATCTCTGATATTTTTTTGAAAAATTTCTGTAAATATTTTTTATACTAAGAAAGAAGAGAGTGAATAGATTTAAATTACTCTTATATTAAATTAAAGTACTCCCTTTTTCCACGGAAATCTATATCTTTTGTTTCCTATCGTATCGGAAGATACACAGGTTTAGAAAGAAATGTTTTTTACCTGTATGGGTTGTTTTGGGGGGAAGGGGTTGCGTATGGCTGTGTATCTGTGCCCGAGAATGTATTTTTTTCAACGTTGTTTAAATAGTAATTTGATATTCTATAGAATATTAAAGCATTATGTTTAATGCTTAGGAAAAACTATAAGAATTCTTCTGTTTCCGACTTTATTGGAATGTTCTTTGCATTGATGAGAATGCCGAGGAATTACTAGCAATGGCGGATTTCCGGCTCTATAACGGTAACATATATATATTTATATACCACCATTTTCTTCCTTCCTATCTTCAATTCTATACGATTCGAGTTTATGCTTTTTCAATATTTTAAGAAGTATTTAATGCAACTGTTCAATTTGATATTATGATATTTTTCGTTAAAGAAATATTACATACAAGTGTGTTTAATATCAATGAAAATATTATTAAACATTTAATGAAATTTACGAACTCGTATATTTTCTTTTCTATCGTAAAAAAAAAAAAAAGTATTTTCTTACAACATAATGGTTAATTAAAACTTTCTTTTATCTGGATTTTTATTAAAATTAATAAAGTTGGATGATGAAAATACGATAAAATAAAAAGTAGAAGAATAAAAAAAAAAAAAAAAGAAAAAACAAAATAAACGAATTGCGATACGTATTACGTTCGAGTTCAAATATCCATTTCGATTAACATTATTTTATTCTTCTTTTTCTTATTCTCTTTATTATATACCCGACTAACGTTGTCTTTTTAATTAACAAGTTTAATTTGATTTTGTGCAGGAATATCTAGTAGAAAAAAACAAAATAGATAAGACCGATTGTTTTTAATATCAGAAATCCTCTAACAAATTTCCTAATTAACGAATTTAATTTGATTTTTTATGAAGAAAAATTACAAACACACAAACGAAAACAAAAAATAATAACATTAATAATAATAATTGTAATATGAAATAAAATGAAATGGAATCGCGATTAAAGATTAATCTTATAACTGAGATTAATCATCTATATCTAATAATCAATCGGTTCACTTATGTGTATCAAGAAAAAAATCCCCCCCCCCCGATCATTACAAATTACTAAATTATACGATTACGTAGTAAATTGTAAAAAGTATAGAATAGTAAATCAATGTGTAATAAATATTTTTAAAAAAAGAGTATAGTTGGTATAAAATTCTAAAAAATAGAATATTGATAAATTCATAAAAAGAAACAATATTTTCTAAATTCAAATAAAATATAATTAAAAGAGAATACGAAGTATAGTAAAAATTGTAAAAAGTAGAATATAATGATCAGTTCGTAATCAATTATTTTTATCAATAATATTGTAACGATTGTTATTCAATTCCAATAAAAAAAAATAATTAAAAAATAGAGATAGTATAATAGTTCATAGTAAATTCTAAGAAGTAAAATAATGATTACATTACAATGAATATATTTTATATTGTTGACAAAAACTAGCAATGGCGGATTTCCTGATTTGACGGTAACATATATATATATATATCTATATATATATATATATATAATATATAATAAGAAGAAGATAGAGTGTGCCGATAGTAGAGGTTACCGTCCATATCTATCAATGGCGGTGAAAAATACCTCTTGATTTTGCGGAGGGAAGAATATAACGCCATGACGGCGCGTACGTTACTCCACTTTTGTGAACCCCTCGTACTACGGGGTCTTCTAGCAGCAGCTGGTATTTCCGTATCGAGGCCAGTGCTGTCCAAAGATTCCGAGGTCGTTGATGTACCACGTAGGCTCGTTATCTCTTTCTCGAAGGATCCAACACGTTCATTGGCTGACAGATCTCGTTCGAAGAATCCCAATGATCTGCGAAAGAAGACAAAACCCGGACGGGTTGCCCCTCTCTCTCACACGCACCCACATTTTCTCACACATTCGCACATTCGTACGTTTCTCTCTCTTTGTCTTTCTTTCTTTGTCTCTTCTCACTCTTTCTCTCTCTCTCTCTCTCTCTGTTTTCTATCAAAAATTTGGGACACAAATAAATGTCAATGTTGTCCGTATGTATGCCTTTTTTTAATAATAAGAAAACAAAAAAGAAATGGGAATGTTTTAATCGTTTCTAACACATCTAACATAATCCCTAAAATATTTGATTTTAATGGATTCTAACTCGCTCGCTCTCGATACTACTTTCTATCTCTAAAAACCCTTCACAAATTTATTACTATTTATTCTTGTCTTATTTTTCATGTCATCGTTCAACGTTGCATTTGATTCTTTTTTTTTTATCATTTCTTATTGTTTCTCTTTTTTTCTTTTTGGATATATTACCGTTAAAACGTGACATCTTTCAATTCGCGTGATTACGTGAATTTACGAAAGATGCGAATTTGTTAAAGTACGAAATTGAAATTTGAATTCGTAAATTAGTTTTGGATAAAACGCGCCACGACTAACGGAACATTAGTTTTCCAAAATAATAGGAAGAGACAAGAAAGGATAATTATGATCATTGTGGTCGAATGAAAAGTATACTTTAAAATACGAGAATCAAATTTCAATTTACTTTAAATTAAACTCGCCTCTTGTTAATTCGTATTTTGGTTAATTATTTTTTAAAAGAACATAGTTTGAGAAAAGTATACAATTAAATTCATATATTTTATATGTTAATTTTTGTTATTTCGTGTAAAATATAAATTTAACATTAATCGAATGAATTATTATATACACTTTAACGGTAACATACACATATGCATGTATGTATTATTGTCAAGAGGAAAGAAAACTATGTAATAGTTGGTAGAAAGTTACTCGGTGTCCTGTATATCCAATAACAGAAGGGTGAATTCACTAGAAGCCCCTATAATCCGGTAAAACAATTGACCATAACCCTGCTAAAAGCATAGAAAAGCTTTATTTCTTTTCTTCTATATAAAGATACCACCACCGTAGAAATCTCGTTTGATACCTTTCAATACCTTTTCAAGATAACTACCGATTCAAGAAACTATCATAATCGATCGTACGACTGACTATCTATATTTTCTTTTTTTTATCTATCGAAATATCATCGTTCGTGTTCAACCAAGAATGACTTACTAACGTTTACGTTAATCTGATTGCGAATTATTACAAGTGAAACAAATTTTTAATGGGAAAACAAAAAAATAGAAAAAGTATGCTTTTTACACGCTACTATTTTCATATTTATTTTTAATAAAATAATTGCTCTAGTAAATTTAAAAATGTAATTTTCTTGATTAAATCAAAATGTGATTAGTGGTCACTTTTGGTTATATTAATTATCACGATGACATAATCACACATCTCGATAAATGTTATATATTTAATTTCTTATTTTTCATTTATATTGAAACTCATTTTGTATCTCACGTTGTCCTTGGCCACATTTTTTCTAGCATACCATTTTTACGTTATTGCTTCTTAATCGGTCCAATTAGCTTTTACGTTTCTTATCCTACTTTAGTTGAAAACACGCGATAACGTCATTCTCCAACATTTTAGCTTTCCTACCAAAAGATTTCCACTTTTCCCCAAGGACGTATTTGAAGTTTCTTTTTTTTTTTTTTTTCTTTTTTTTTTTTTTTTAAAAAAAAATCCTCTTAACTAGAAAGTACCATGTTGTTCGTTCGCTTAAACACGACAAATATTATCATTGCTAGAACTATAATATGTTTTATATTTTTTAAACGCATTTTCCATTCTTTTTATGTGAAAGTGCAGTACGCTAACGCGAAATAATATTTCGAATGAATGAAATTTTTAACGTTGTTCCAATAATTATTTAAACGATTCATTGTGAAATAATATCTTTAATCAATTAATTTTTTATTACTATTTATATCTTCAGAAAATGGAAATAATTTTATGCTAGATAAAAAGAAATTCGAATTTTCGCTCAAGTATTGTATTTTTCCTCCTTGTATATACGATATTTCGCACGAAGTTTTATTTCCAACGTATCGGATACTCGTTGTTTTTTTTTTTTTTTTTTTTTTTTTTTTGCTTTTTTCAATCAAATATTATCCAAAGATAAACGAAAAGGATTTTCGATCGATGGTAAAATACGAATAAAAAAAACAAAAAATTGCAGAAGTTTAAAGGAGAATCCTCGCGTATGGATGAATTCATTCGACAACTCTCTTCTCATCGTTGAATTGAACACAAAATCCGAGTTTAAAAAATTTTGAAAAATAAATATTGAATATATATTTTATATACGTGACGATTAATAAATAAAATATCATCGTGTCTTGTCAATATATCATTATTTGTTCATTATCGTTGAATTCGACTAAATGTTTAGACAATTAGATGGCATATATAGGTTTGTAATTAGAAAAAAAAAATGAAAAAATAATCCAATCAAATATCAATGAGAAATAAAATAACACGAATGTACATGCGGGCGATCAGGGGGTATTACTTTTTGTTCTTTTTATTTTATTTTTCTCAAACAGATATTTTATATATATATATATACACCATAGTTAAACGAGGTAAGAAAAAAAATATAACAAGTTGGATATATAAAATATAAGGTCTGACTATGATTCCAAAGATAACAACTAAAGTGGGTAGGCGTTCGTTTATTCGTTCGATCGATACACGGAAATATTGGAATACTACTAAGATACAATTGAAAAGGCTAAAGCGTGGGTGTATTGTAATTTAAATAGCTTCACCTGTAACTTACCTCACGTGGAGAAAAGGGCATAGGTAGAAGAGGGGATGGGCAGGGCTTTGGATAGAATGAATATTTCTATGACACAAATTGGGTATGCTCGTGAAGACAATTATTTTTATTTTGACGTTTGAATGAAATGAAACGATTTCAAATTTAATTCAAAAATTGTTCGATCAAAATATAATTAAGAAAAAGAACAAATATATATATGAAATAAATATACTTTTGTGTGATATATATAATACAAATTTTAGAAGTTCATATTATTAAACGTTACTCGATGCAACACTTATTCAATAAAAAATGTAACCACAATTAATGAATTATATTTTTTCTATAAAAAAAAAAAAGAAGAAGAAAAAAAAAGTTCAAGATCGTTCTAATAGAAATTATAACGCTCAAAGAGAAGGTCGTGTATCTAATCTTGTTTTACGCTTCAAATCGATAAGATCACGGTTGTTTAACAAAAAAGAAGCTTTTCCTCTCTCTCTCTCTCTCTCTGTGTGCTTTTATTATTAATTTATCAATATTGGCAACGCGAAACGGAGGGATGTTTAGTTGAACGATTTTTTCCTCCCTTTTCTTATATATTTACAAACTGGTACAGATCAAATCAATCGTGACGTTTCTTTTTTCATTCTTTTAATAAAATCACACAATGACGGGTTTTAAACAATTCAAAAGAATGTTCAAGAATAAATGGCTTTCTATCGTAAAAAGTATTAAAGCTTAACAGACACACCAGACTTTGCACTCTGTTTTTCTTCTAATTTGGTCAGTCCATGTATTACATAACTACTTCTTTTGGTTATATACTTTAAAATACATAGTATATATCTATATATATGTAATAATACTAGAAGAAGGTAAATGTTCAAGGATTACATGAGAAAACAGTTCTATTAAGGGACTACTTAAAAAAGAAAAAAAAAAATAAACAAGAAGAGAACAAAATAGAAACTATCTTAATGAGTATCTTCGTTGCTCGTACTAAAAAATAACGTTACGGCAATAAGTACTCTCTATTTTTCTTTTTATCTCTCTCTCTTTCTCTCTCTCTCTCTCTCTCTCTCTCTCGCACTTCATTTCATTCATTTCAAAATACGAGATCGTACTGGACGATAAATTACTACGTTGCAATTAAAGCGAAGATTCGATTAGATTTTCATCAACGTCATAGTCTTCAATTATGGAAAATGAAAAAGAAAAGAAAAAAAGATGATCGAACGACAAATAACTATATATATATATATATATATTTATAATTAAAATTAATGAATTTCTCATTTATTATATTCTTCTTCTTATTTTTATTAGGACTTCGTTCTGTTATAATAACTTTTTTATTGTTATTTCCGAGAATGCTTTATTGTTTTTAACTGAGGGTAGGTTGCTAGTGTCTCTCACCCTCAATTTATTATATAATAATAATAATTATTATTATTATTATTATATGACGTTGTATAACTGTGATCAATTAAATTAACGAATATTAAATATCATTGTTATCTTGAAAACTTAAAATAATCATAATAAATTCCAACGAAAAGAGTAAGTTTTGTTTGTCTTATAAAAATCGGATGGATGAAATAACTACGATCGAGAGAAAGAAAACAAAGAAAAAAAAGGAAATAAAGAAAATATAAAATTCATTCGTGCGAAGAGAGGGAATTTTCTTTTACGATCGATTTAATTCGAATTTTCGAACGGTTTTAATCGTATTATGAAACTGTGCAATCGCGCGAATGGTAAATATAATCACCTACGTAACGAATTCGTTAATCTTATCGCGATGCTGGTGGTGATGGGGGGGGGGGAGGAGGGGAGAGAGGAAGTGGGAAGAGATTAGGGAAAAGCTCAAAAGAGTTTCCGATTTAAAATCAAACGAAGCGAAAGAGAAGAAGATCTTCGATGTTATGTACGAGATAAGGGTCTTCTTCTTCTTCACTATCTTCTACTTCACTATCTTCTACTTCTGTGTGTCTCATTTTCTCTTTACTTTTTCTACTTGGAAGATATCGTTAAGGGTCTAGAAATAAAGTTTATTCTATGGTATACTCGGGTTACTTCGATTTCCAAACGATTTAAAAGTACCCGCAAATCGAACCAGAGTTGAAACGTGTAGCATTCCCCTTTTCGTATCGTTTGAAAAACTCGTTATGGCCTTTTGAGAAAAAAGGTATCGTAAAATGTGACCCAATACAAGGATAAAAAAGGAAATACTTTAGACGTAAAGATCAACGACGTCATACGTCGTTCGATAAACGGATCTCGGAGGACCCCCTTCTTTTTCTTTTTTTTTTTTTCCTCTTCACCTTTTACAACCTTTTATCAAAAAAAATCTTCGTGCGAATTATCGTCTTTCTCTCTCTCTCTCTCTATATAGATTTTTATTATTATGGATTATCATTATTATATTTATTTCTTTTTAAGGAATTAAAACATCTATCCTTTAATTTCTGAACAATGAAGATCTTGCAACAAATTATGAATAATAACATTCATCCCTTAGATATTCGTTTATCTGTCGAAGATTATCATTATTATATTTATTCAAAATTGCATTTTCTTTCTTTTTTTTTTTTTTTTTAAAGAATTAAAACATCTATCCTCTTTAATTTCTGAACAATGAAGATCTTGCAACAAATAACATTCATCCCTTAGATACTAATTTATCTGTCGAATATCGTTAGATTCTTTTTAATTAACGCGACAACAATTATATTCGAAAGATCTATTCGATAAACATACTGATCGCGTTAATTTAACCATTAAATGGAAAATAGGATTTTTCGAATAATATCATCAGTATCACTTTCTACCCTCTGTGATATTCTTTTTACGAAGAAAAGAAATAAAACCGAGGATGGAAGATTAACTACCGTTTAATCCTTGTCACTTGGAATGATTAATGAAACGGTCTCATCTTCTCTCTTTTTTAATGTCAAGTTAAACGATTTGGAAGAGGAGTAAAGAACTTTTTTTTTTTCTATTTTTTTTTCTTTTCTTTTTTACTGCTAGAATATAGAAAAGGAAACAAAAAGTCACGCACACACACAATCACCGTTGTTTTACGTTCAACGAGATCGACAATAAATTAACATTCACGATGAATAATGATAAACTTTGACAATAATTTATGATAATTATTGTCAATTGTGGAAAAAAAGGGGAGGAGTGGGGAGACGGGGGGCGGGAACAAAGAAGAAACCACACCCACGCCCCCCTTTTGTCCAATACGCGGCCGCAAATTTTTCGTCCAAATATTATTATAGACGAGTGCGGTGAGGAAGGGAGGGTTGGGAGGGCGTACAAAAAAAAAGAAAGAAAGAAAACCGAAAAGGGATGAGGAAGAGTTGCTTCGATGATTATGATAAACGATCTTATAATAATAATAATAATAAACTCACCGCGATCCGACGTGACTATTATTTGTTCGGCTACCACTACTCTCCTTATCCTCGTCGTCTTCCTCGTCACGTGACGTAGCCAGAGATTGGGGAACCGAAGAAGGAGCACTGCTACCGGAATCGGGCCCTGGGCCCATCCTCGAACCGGAAGCACCGCTGCAACCAGCCGAAGATGCTGCCGGATCTCCCACTCCCTGGCCCTCCTTCTTCTCCGCACGATCCACCTATTATTTAAACACAATACGTAACATGTGAATTTATTAGAAAATTTTTTTTTTAATTTTTTTCTTAATTTAATAACAATTTAATATTCTTATCGTATCCGATATATTCCCCCTTTTTTGAATTTTGTTGTCTTTTCTTTTCTTTTCTTTCCGATTATCTCGAATTTTGTTTCGCATTGCAAGACGTGTCTTTATTAATTATGCAATTTTTGTTGTTTTCTTTTTTTTTGTTTTTTTTTTTTTTTAATGGAAAATACGTTTAGAAGTGTATTTATTTTATAGGAAGTATAACGAAGGAATCGAAATGAAATTATAATGAAAAAGAAATAACAAAGATAAACGACGACGACGACAACGAAATAAAAATATAAAAATATAAAGAAATATCTTATTATAGTTGTTGTGTCGATTTTAAAAAAAAAAAGAAAAAAAGATAGGATTAGTGAAAAAAAAAAACAAATTGTAAAAAGTAAAAGACCAAACGTATTGACGGGTTTGGAAGGAACGCGAATCGGAAGTTGTAGTTCGATTTGTGAAAAGAAAAAAAAGAAAAAAAAAGTATCGTTGAAAAAAATATCGTGAACCTTTAATCTCGTTATTCATCTGCCTTATTCTATACTTTTTATTACGATATATCCTCCTAGGATTTATTCCCTGTGGCAAGTATTATCAAACGAATCCATTTATTCGAACAAAACAACGTTCAATAACTTCCGGTCATGAAATTCTGATCCAATTTACTCTACCTTATCGATTTCTCGCAAATGTTTTACACATCTCTCTCTCTCTCTCTCTCTCTCTCACACCCTTTCCTTTCTTACTTAATATATTAACGCGTATAATTAAAAAATCCCATAAATATATTTCATCTTTCTTTATTAATTTAATGTCAATAAATTTGTCTTCTTTCATACTCATTTCGTTTCTTATACAATATAGTTTTATCTCTCTCTAATAAAATTATTTGACGATATTCGATTTTACGAACGATAATAGAATTACGTGATAAAATTGATAAAACAAGTCGTAATATAAACAAATAAAATATATTGCTTTTAAAATTAACTCGAAATATTATTCGTATAGTATTATACAATACTTTGCGTGTAACATTTTATATGCGTGCATTTGAATAAACCCCTCCCCCTTCCCTTTCCAGCCCTCTACTCTCCTATAAAAAAGCAAGCAAGTACATTATTTCGACATTAATGCGTTTCGACATTTTATTTGCATTTTGTGTTTAATATTAATGAATCGGAGTATATTTAAAATCTCAATGAGAAAATGCAGAAATTCGTTAACGCGTTTCGATGAGATAAAACGGGACTGGATATAAACAATATTTCAAATCAAATTGCTTGTGGTTATTTTTTTTAACCCTACCACCTCCTCCTCCTCCTCCTCCTCCCCGTAATTTCTCTATCGATCGTTGTTGAAACGTTAATAATTAATAATTTTACAAACAAAATAAGAGAAGTAAAGATGAAGGAGAAGGAGACAAACAAAAGAAAATCCTTTTAACGTAACAAAATTGAAATAATAATATTAATGATAATAATGATAATGATAATAATAATAATAATTGCAAAGAGGAAACAACAAAAAAATGTAAATTGTGCACCGATTACAGAAAATGACGCTTTTCGTTTCTCGAAATAGCCGGAAACTTGGCGAGAGAATTTTAAAAAGGATAAAACAACGTGCGCGTTAATTCGTATTTTATTCAAACGAACGTCGAATGAGAGGGATGAACAAAAAGAAGGGGGGGTGGCGGGGCAGGGCGGGGGGTATGCTTAATGCGTTGAAAAAAGGAAAGCACGTGTTTCGGATGAATTGTTTCGACGTGTGTAATACAAACGTTGACCGTTAGAAAAAAAAATCAACGTTTAAATGGATACACACACATTGTTTTACGTTATTTAAATATATAATTATACATAAATAATATATGTGACGCGAGAGAGAGAGAGAGACAGATAATAAAATTTTCCGAGAATAAATTTGTTATTATACAAAAAAAATACGATAATAATTGTACAGTTTAAAAATCGACCTAATTACAAAATATTAATCGTATTCGTTGTAATATATAAGAAAATGTTCGCTGTATATTTTTGTCGTATTTCTTACTTATATGTTAGAACATTTATTTGCGAAGCTATTATATTGGTCACTTGTAGATCTTAAATACATATATACATATACATATATATATATATATATAGAATTTCTATTTACTTTAACGCCATTTTTCGCTCGAAGAAAGTTGTTCTACGTGACTCGAAATTCAATGACTCGTTTGGTGATTTATTCGATAATCTTTTGAAGTATCTGTAGAAACCAAGATAGATAGATAGATAGAAATAATAAGAGAGGTAGAGAAAACTAGACAAACCACAAGAGGAATACCACTAGTATAAGTTCCATGAATTCGTTTTCAAGGAAATCGTTTAACGTTAGGGTTTCAGATCGTTTGCGTTAAAATTTTACGGTCTGTCTCTCGGAGTCGAGTTATAATTAAACTATTAAATTACGAGCTGGAACTTTGCCACTCGAACACTCGATAGTCGTTCGAGGGAATATAGTCGAGTTGCACGAGTTCCCCCTATATGCAATCCAAAATAACAAGAGAGAGGGAGAGAGAGAGAGAGAGAGAGAGAGAGAGAGAAGAAGATATTTCAAACTATAAGCTGATGTGTATTTTTATCAAAAATCGATTGGATACTTTTATAAAAATATCTTTATCGAAATAATTTGTAGACAAGAAAAAATGATTATCAAAAGATAGATATTATTCAAATAGATATTCATAGAATACTCATAAAAAAAAGTCTTGAAACCACGCGGCACAAATTCTTTTATAATATTATTTTGATTATTATATTATGCATATTTTTATCGATTCTCGATAAGACTTGGTTCAAATTTGATATTAAAAAAAAGAAAAAAAATAGGACAGGTTGATATATACTTTGTCATACGTATTGCGAGGTTTGAAAAGAAGACTGATGTCACCTTTTTTTCTTCATTTTTTTTTTCTCCCCACCACCCCACCCCTAAAATAGAAGAGTAACCATAATGAGTTTTGAAATTCGAGATACATTGTGTCAGGGTATCAACTCACTCAGTTAACAACTCGCACCTAGACACCAAATTGAGAGAAGATATATACTGAAAGTGCTTAGTCGGCCAATGAGAAGATGTTAAAGCCCTTAGTCCTACTCCTATTGTTCTTGTTACCCCTTTCAATGCAATATAGGAAGGGCTTGCTAGACCTCTGATAATAACTGCATTATATCTATCCGAGTAGTTTTCAGTTTATTTAACGAATTCGATGAAAAAGATTTGGTCATATTTAATGATGTTAACATAATATAATATTAACAAATTAACTATTTTATTTATTTTAATAATAAATATTATATAACAAACTCAATTAAATTAAGTTCTACTTCTTTTCATGTCCAAGCTCCCTATGAAACTTTATCATTAAAAATTATATAACAATATAATATTAACAAATTACATAATTAACATAATATAATATTAATAAATATATTAACATATATAATATAATATTAACAAATTAACTATTTTATTTATTTTAATAATAAATTTTAACATATAATATAATATTAACAAATTACTATTTTATTTATTTTTTTCGTTGCGAAATAAAAGTATTGACAAATAAAAAAGAAAAGTACGAAAAGTTTATAAATGTGTATATTTTTATATTGTTGATCACACACGACGAAATTAATGAACAAAGTGTCCACCCCTAGTGATATTTTTTTCTTTTCTATTTTTTTATTATACGTGTCAATCATTCACAACCATTTACGGGGAACGACTTTTTTTTATAAAAAAAAAACAAACATACTGGCCTTTTTCTCTTTCAATTTTTTGATCAACTTTACATAGAGGGGTTCGATTATTATTGATAAAGAAACAAAAAGATATATTATAACAAAAAAAAAAAGAAAGTTATAACAATTAGTTAATTACTTTTCCTCAAACAAACAAACAAAAATTAATTCATTCGATATTAATAAAATTATTCTTCGCCATTTTATATCTCATCGTGTGATTTTCTAATTATTTCGATGGAATGAATTTCAGTTAGTTTTTTTTTTTTTGGTTCTTTTTGTTGTAAATCGAACGAACGTAATCGTTCGACCAAAAAAAAGAAAAGAAAAAAAAATGAAATAAAACAAACGTTCGGCAAATATCATGGAACATGTCAATCTATTTCGAATACGAAACGAGCCTGTCAATATTTTCCCTTATGGGTTTTTTTCGTAAACGAAACAAGCAAAAAGATAAAACGAAGAAAATCCGAGAGAGAGAGAGAGAGAGAGAAAAAAATGTGAGAGAAACGAGAATAAGGCTTCTTCAATAAAATAGTCGAGAGTTTTCTTTTGAAGGAAAATTCTTCAATCGTTATATGTCTCATCGTTCTATACTCGTGCGAACAAAATTAAAAAATTTCTATGCGAGATGTAATAACGAGCAGAAAGACAAAAAATAAAAGAAAAAAAAAAAAAAAAAGAATAGGAAAAAGTTGAGGAAAAAAAGAGAATATACATTTTTTGTAAAAGAATATTCGTAAAAATAATGTGAATACTAAAAAAAATTATTATTTGAAATATAATAAGAGAGAAGAAGAAGAGGAAGAAGAAAACACACATGCACACACATAAAGGAAGGAATGGAAAAAAGAAAAGGAAACTTAAAGTGACCATCTTAAAACGTCAAGATAATGATAGCGACTTTGATCTTTTCTAAAGTTAGTAGAAAAGAAGCTACGAGATAGGAAAAAGATAAATCGTAGTATGGGGGAAACAATAGCCTTAAGGGAAAATCGTTTTTCACCATAGCTATTGGCAATGTCGTATAGATGTTAACATCGTATCCAAGGACGAGCTTTAAAGTCCAACGATTTTTCATCCCTCGTAAATGACAATAAGCTGGATTCGCATCGAAGGATAGATACTATTCTTTTGATACCACTATTTTCCAATTGCTAGTGGAAAA